ACTGAGCCACCCAGGCGCCCGAAAATAATTTTCTAGTACAAAATTGGAGTGAAAAAGATTTCCTTGACTAGCTTTATTACAAATACATGCATAAGTGGAAGTGGGGAATGAAAAGAGATTGAGACTACGTTTATTTTAAATGTGTTTGCTATGAATGTACTGCTTGGATAAGATTTAAATTTGATAAAACACTGAGCTGTCTTTTTTGAAAGCTGTAACTTACAAATATAAATTTTTAAAGAAGAATGTGATTGAGACTTGAGTAAGAAAACAAAATTATGACATTTACAGCATAAACAAGCTTCTCTAGGGTAACTTTTTTTCCATGATAGGATAATAACTTTATTTGTCGGGGCGCCTGGGTGGCTCAGTTGTTAAGCGTCTGCCTTCGGCTCAGGTCATGATCCCAGGGTCCTGGGATCGAGCCCCGCATCGGGCTCCCTGCTCCGCGGGAAGCCTGCTTCTCCCTCTCCCACTCCCCCTGCTTGTGTTCCCTCTCTCGCTGTGTCTCTCTCTGTCAAATAAATAAATAAAATCTTTAAAAAAATAACTTTATTTGTCAAGAAAAAATACCATTGATCTAATCTGTATGCAGAATGCCAGCTAGTAAAAAAGGAAAACCATAACCAGGTGGAATATGAGCACACACAGCACATCCAAGTACAACTCACCGTAAAACAACAACAACAACAACAACAACAAAACCCCAAATGCTGATTTTAAAGTCTCCACATGGTTTTGTACCTCACTTGTTCTAAATCTGCAGATATGAAGAGTTGTAGATCTAAACATAATCTATGTCTCCTTTCAGGATTTTTAGTATTTGTTAACTGAGAGGCTTGGAATAACAACCTAAGTCCCCTCTAGTCCTAAAATTCTAAGTACATTCAATACATGCTAGTAAATGCATTGACACATACAATGCCACAGGCTGACTTTTTGGCAAAAGGGGAAAGTAAGCAAAATGATGGGGGTACTCCATCATGGCACGGACAACTAGTCTGTTTTCCTCAAGGTTAGTCTCTAAATTGACACATGGTAAACCTGATCACCAACTGTTTGCTGACAGTGAAATAACAGAGACCTCTCCTGACAGTGTCTCTAAAAGTTTCACATGCACATTTTGATTCTATCTCCTGGAACCCTTGCTCCTCCCCATTATCCTCCCATTGTGTTGGCTAATATAGGTTACTACATTCAATATATTATCACTTTTCATCTTTTTCCATCTCTTGGGCCAATTTAACTCAGCTGATCTTACTTCAAAAATGACTTCATCTGGTTCCCCTTTCATCTCTCAGGCCACTCCTTCTTTTATCTAGTTTTTACATGTTGGAATTACACAAAGCTGGACTCTAGACCTTCTTTGAACTCTATACCTATGCTGTTCAATATGGCAGCCACTAGCTCATGGGACTATTTAATAAACTCAAGAAAATAAAATTATATATTCAGTTCCTCAGTTGCACTAGGCATTTCAAGTGCTCAATAGCCACAAGTGGCTCATGGTTATTATACAGGACATCATTAATATAGAATATTCCCACCACTGCAGAAAGTTCTATTGTACAGTGCTGCTCTATACCATCCCCCTGAGTGATCTTACTCATGTCCATGGTGTCAGTTATCTGTTTGCAGAAGACTCACACATTTGTACTCTGTCATACAAACTTCTCCTTCGAGCCCAAGACCCATGTAGCCAGTTTCTTAACTTTTCCATTTGGATGTCTCAAAAGTACCTCAAGCCCAATATGCTCTAGACCAAATTTCTCATATTCATCTCCAAACCTAGTTTTGGAATGTTCTTTCTCTCACCAATGTTACCATCATCTAACCCCAGGTAAACAAGTTAGAAAATTCATCCTTTATTCTCCTTCATTCCTTCAATCCATTTCCAAGTCCTTTGAGTTACCTCTGAAGTATCTCTCAAATTTTTCCCTTTCCTCATCTCCTGTGAATCCCCCACAATGCAGAGTTTGATTAGTGGAGCAATCTCCCTGAATTCAAATCCTGATTTGGGCTGAGTGACCTTGGAGAAGTTACTTAATCTTTTTTCCTTGACCAAGTTTTTCATCCGTAAAGCGGGGGTAATGCTATGATTTTCTTCACGGTGTTGTTGTAAGACTTAAATAAGATTATGAATGCAGAGTTTAGCACCGAATCCAGGACATAAATTCCATATAAATGTTAGCTACTAGTTATTCCATATAAATGTTAGCTACTAGCTATTATCCCAAGCCTAGATTACTGAAATTGTATCCTGTCTTTCTTATTCTTGCTCCTCTCCAATCTTCTGCCCACAATATAACTAGAGAGACTTTTAGTGAAGTTAAATCTGATCATGTCCCCCTCTATCTCCCTGAAAACCCATTAGTGGTTGTATAAGATGATTTTAGAATAGATAGATTCATCTCCTATCTCTCTGGTCCCTTGAGCTCTATGCTTTAACCAAACTGGCTGCAAGCTCCTTAGCCAGGCCATGTTCAGTCCATGAGGGCTTTTGTTCACAATATTACCCTTTTTTGAACTGCCCCCTCCTCCCCGCCCCTGGAAGTTATCATCCTTCAGACCTCAGCTGAAAAGTCATTTCCTCCCTCACTAAGTCTGGTCCCTCTATTTTGCATTCTCATTGTACCATGTTCCAGTCTGTCCTAGAACGTCTCAGTTTTTAACTACCCATTTATATGAGTGACTACTATTTATTACTACACATGTATTTGTTTCCTCCAACAGACATCTCAGACTGAGTTCCTGATATGCCTCCTACCCAAGCCTGCTCCATTCAGCATCTCCTCCACCTCAGAAAATAGCAACACTATTCTTTCAGTTACTCAAGCCAAAACCCTTGGATTCTCCTTTACACTCCACAACTATCAGAAAATCCTATTGCCTCCCTAGAATTCAACCATTTCTCCCCTCGCCCCCTGGCCCCTTTTCACTGCTACCCATCCTGGTCAAAGCCGTATCATCGCTTCCTGGATTGCTGAGTTGCCTCTTGACACATCTCCTTGTTTCTTTCTTTAGCCCCACCATTTAGATTCTTGTGTATTTACAAGGCAGTTAGATTGATGCTTTAAGTATATGTCAAATCATGTCTTTCCTCTACTCACTCTCTTAATAACTTGCCATCTGCTAAGGAGTTAAGTGATCTTGCCACCCAAATCCATATGTGGAAGCCCTAACTTTTCCATGTGACTACATTGGAGATAGTGCCTTTTGGAGAATAAGATTAAATGAGGTCATAAAGGTGGAGCACTGACCCGACACAACTGGTTCCCTTATAAGAAGAGACACCAGATTTCTCTCTCCACCATGTGAGGACACAGTGTTAAGACAGCTGCCTGCCTGCCAGGAAGAAAGCCCTTACCAGAAGCTGACCATGCTCGCGCCCTGCTTAAGACTTTTCAGCTTCCAGGACTGTAAGGAAATACATTTCTATTATTTAAACAACTCAGTCTATGGTATTGTGTTAGGACAGTCCAAACTAATATACCATCTCACTCAAATTAAAAACCAAAGTCCTTTCAAAAGCCAAAGGGGTCCATTCTGGTCTCTTATGCCCCCGATCCCTAAACTCTTACATAATTTCCCTTGATTCTCCGCATCCCTTAAGCAGGCCTATAGGCCCCACTGGCCTATATGCAATTCCAAGAACAAGTCAGGTATGCTCTCTCACCTTGCAGTTTTTGTTTTTCTTCTGCTTGGAACACTATTTTCCCAAATATACATCTCTCTCACTACCTCACTCAAATGTCACCTTCTCAGTTTCCATGACAGATTTTGCCACCTCCATCTCACACACATATCCCATTCTCCTCCCTTCGCGTGCACCACTAGCAACGCTATCTATTGTATCCATTTAACTTTATTGCCTCTCTCTCCCCAGCTAGACTGTGATTTCCATGAGGGAGGCGACTGTCTGCTTTGCTCATTGCCATATCCCCAAGCTACAGAGCACCTCATGGTAAGTGCTTACCGTTTGTTCAGCTCAATGAATGTTGAATTTCAACAGCTACCAAATTAGCTACGGTACCACACAGATCAGCTACTGAGGCAGCAATGCCCCAGTAGCAACTGTACTGCCCAAAGGGCCACCTGATTTTTCTGGCCTCTCCTGGTTTTCTCCTATCACTAAAGCTGAAGAGGAACTTTAAAAACCGTGGCTACATGATCGGAGCGTGATTCCTTCCTCTCTCCATTTTTACAACAGAAATAATAAATTTAGACGAAAAGTCGCCAAGGTCGACTAAGATCATGGGTATCACAATTTTTTGATAATTGTCTGGCTGCAACTTTCTTCACAGCATTTCCAAATAATTCTGCGAACTCTAGGGCTCTTGGGTCATATTTCCAGGGTTCAACCAAGGAGGGTGCTTATCCCCAGAAATAAAATTTTAAAATACATAAATACAAATAAATAAAAGACGAGTGAGTGATGGAAGAAACAGTTCGTTGTCGTTATCTGCTTTTATGTGGAGCTGTGGGTAGAATTTAGTTTAAAAAGAGATTCTGCTGCTGGGCGCCTGGGTGGCTCAGTTGGTTAAGCGACTGCCTTCGGCTCGGGTCGTGATCCTGGAGTCCCGGGATCGAGTCCTGCATCGGGCTCCCTGCTCAGCGGGGGGTCTGCTTCTCCCTCTGACCCTCCCCCCTCTCATGCTGTTTCTCTCTCGCTCGCTCTCTAATAAATAAATAAATAAAATCTTAAAAAAAAAAAAAAGAAAAATAGATTCTGCTGCTAAGAAAGTTGCAAAATCACTATATCCCCCCACATTTCACAGAAGAGAAAACAGGCCTGCAGAGGAGAGGAGGAAAACAGGAATTCTTCACAACCTAAACCACGCCGAAAGTTCCCGGTTAGTGCTCCACAGCTAGTCATGGCTCTACGGTTAGTTACCGCTGTGCATTCGCTTCCGAGCTGAGCTTCCCATCGTTTTTGGAAATGCCTCAAGCTAAGAATCGTCTTGAAACGACACGGTATCGCAACTTAGCTCCCTTCTCACCTTCAAACATCACAGCTTTTAAAATACAGGTGTCATCGAAGTGTGGACACACCCACTGCATCTCCACGGGAGTGTTTCTGGTTATGCAAATCTAACGCGGCCAGGCGGGGAGTCGACCGCTTCAAAGGCGGCTCAGAGGAAATCCTGCCTCCCCCTAGGCTCAGGCCTCGAGTAAGGGCGGGCAGTCGCGGCCGGCCGGAGCCGCGAGCCGACCTCGCCCGGGGGCGCACCTCGCCGGCAACTCCGGAAGCACCTGCGGGCCCGACGGGAAAATCCCCGGCAGCACCCACCGGAGCGGGGGGCGACCGGCAGCTTTAGCACCGCCTCGGGTACCACACGCCTGAGGTGAAGCGGCCCTGTAGCCCTGCAGCATCTCGCGAGATCTCGCCGGCTCAGCCCAAGTGCTGCGAGCTCAGAACTTAAAAAAAAAAAAAAAAATTAAAAAAAAAAAAGGAAAAAGAGAAGAGAGAGATTGGAGGGAGAGAGAGAGCGAGAGCTCCTGAAGCCTCCGCGGTGGTGGCAACTGCCGCGGGCGCAGCAGCAGTCGGCGTGCGCCGAGGCAGGACTCCGGCGCCCGTTCGCCCGCCGGGCTGGGCGCCGTCCGCGGCGGGCTCTGCCGAGGCCTGGGCCGCCGGCCCACTGACGTGCAGCCCCAGGGGCGGGGAGAGAGGGCGGCGGCCGGGGGGCCCTCTCCTCTTCGCCGCAAAGGGGGCGGGGGAAGGAGGTGGAGGGGTGGGAGGAGGGCGACGGAAGAGGAGGTAGCGGCGCGGAGATCCCGGCGACGGCGGTGAGGCGGCACGGCGCCGCGCCTGCTCCCTGCTCGCGCTGCTCGCGCTGCTCGCGCTGCCCGAGGCCCGGCGCGGACTGGACGGACGCGATCCTCGCGCACGCAGCTCCAGCGTGGGGTCTGGCAGAAGCCCGGGAGGGCCGGCCCGCCGAGGGAGCGTCTGCCGCGCGACACTGCGGGACCGCGGGTGGGCGGGCTGAGGGGCGGAGGAGCCGCCGACCCCGCCTCCCGCGTGCTGCTGCCGGAGCCGCCACCGCTGCGGCCCCGCGGAGGCTTTAAACAGCGGGGCCCGCCCCGCGCCCACTGCACTCGCGCGCCGACTCGGCTGCCGGCCGTGTTTGTGCCGGTCCGGGCTCGCGGCGGCGGCGGCGGCGGCGGCGGGCGGAGGGGCGAGCGATTCCGTCACCTGGCGTTGCGGCCGCGGGCACCGCCGGCGGAGGGCGTGCAGCCCGCGACGTCCGCCAGGCTCTCGGAGTCCGCCGGGGGTCGGGCGGCGATGGAACCGGGGCCCACGGCGCCCTCCTCCGGCGCCCCGAGGCTGGCCGGGGTCGGGGAGACGCCGCCAGCTGCCGCGCTGGCCGCCGCCGGGGTGGACCTGCCCGGCACGGCCGTGCCCTCAGTGTCGGAGGATGCTGCGGCCGCGAGCCGGGGCGGTGGCGGGGTCCGCGGTGAGGGCGCCGCGGCGGCCGGGGACGGACTGGGCAGACCCTTGGGGCCCACCCCGAGCCAGAGCCGCTTCCAGGTGGACCTCGTTTCCGAGAACGCGGGGCGGACTGCGGCGGCTGGGGCCGGGGCCGGGGCCGGGGCCGGGCCTGGGGGTAAGGAGACCCCAGCGGACGGGAAAGCTAGCGGCGAAAGCGGGCCAGGCAAGGGCAGCGAGGAAGCCAAGGGCCGCTTCCGCGTGAACTTCGTGGACCCGGCTGCCTCCTCATCTGCTGACGAGAGCCTGTCGGATGCGGCGGGGGTCGGAGGCGACGGGCCCAACGTGAGCTTCCAGAACGGCGGGGACACGGTGCTGAGCGAGGGCAGCAGCCTGCACTCGGGAGGCGGCGGCGGCAGTGGGCACCACCAGCACTACTACTATGATACCCACACCAACACTTACTACCTGCGCACCTTTGGCCACAACACCATGGACGCCGTGCCCAGGATCGATCACTACCGGCACACCGCAGCGCAGCTGGGCGAGAAGCTACTCCGGCCCAGCCTGGCTGAGCTCCACGATGAGCTGGAAAAGGTGAGCTCTCCCAGCCCTCCCTCATTCCCAAGCGCTGGTCCTCCGGTCCTCGCTGACCGCGGGATGTGGCCGCCGGCTCGCCACGGGTGAGGTGGCGGGAATGGACGAGCGCGACCCGTGGCATCTCTGCAGCCAGCTGTCAAGGGTGGGATTGCGGAGGAATGTAACTTAATCTCTTAGAAGTTTGCAGCGGGTTAAGCTAGTTAGGTAATAGAAGAGAGGCTGCATTTAACAATCTTCACCATCCACTTGTGTATCTGGTGTACGTTCTCTTTCTCACCCACGCTTAACAGTCTTACCATCCCTCTGGATGATAGTTGTGCTTGTGGGCCCCGAGAAGGGAGTGTGCGGGAGGTTTAGGTGAGCATGGCTCTGGGGAGAGAGTGGAGAGCACCTACCATGTTTTTAGATGTCCTTTTTAAAGGTTGTGTTGTATGGTTTATGTATACCTATTAGGGGTCCCGAGAGTGGGAACAGTAGTGTTTGAAAAGAAAATCTTAACAGGGTGTGTTTGTGGTCTGTGAATTATTAAAGCTCAATTACTGCTGTCTTGAATATGCGAAGGATTATACAAATCTTAGGATACCCTGTTGCTGATAATGGCGTAAACCTATTTTTTATTATTATAAACTTTTTGGGCAAGGACTATATAAAAAGTTGGGGGGCAAAGTGTAAAATAGGGGGAGGGGAAAGAAAGAAAGAGAAACAAGAGAATTTTTTTTTCCCCCCTGTGGAGGAGGTCTAGATTGAAAGACATTCCGGGGTCTTGCATAAGTAGTTATACTTTGTGAACAGAAAACCATCCCTAAAAGTCTACTGGTTTCCATAATTCTATTTTTTATGGCCACATCCAATTTTTATTTCTTCAGGGTGTAAAATTATTATTTTGAGATAACTTCAGTGCTTTTGAAATTTGATTAATATTTAACTTTTATGAGTTGGGATTACTTGACGCCTGCTTTAACAAGTGTAAAATGATTACGTTGATGAAATTTTGTGAATGCAAAGAGTTGGTACCACCTGGGCTGAGATGTGGTAGTATGGAAAAGTTTAAATACAGAAAGTATGTAATTTCTTCAGGTGTGATTGTTTGATCTCATACACTCATTTTATACAAGGCTGTACTTGTCCTAGTGTTTGATAATGTAACATTCATACAGTTTGAAATAATTACAGAGGTCCCAATCCTTACAGCTTACTGATTCTTTAAAAGCCTGACATCATTTAGCTTTGGATACTACTACTTCTGTTACGCCATTATGGTATTTTGTCATATCAGAAGACAAACAATTTTTAAAACATTTATACTCTTGTAGTTTCTTTCAAATTTATTTTTATCCTAACCAAACTCCAAATCTCTGTAAAGTAGATGTATAGCTGGTAATTTCCCTTTTATTATGGCATTTTTATTATTAAAAATATCATATGCTATATTTCAGATTAATTGCACCAAAGCTGAATAGTTAAGTAGTAAGGCAGTCTATATTTACCCATAAGTTTTTAAAAGGGTTTTTGAATTGAAGGATATTATATACCTTGAACTTGTAAACATCCTAGGAAAGTTTTTGTTATTCTAAAATCTATGAACAACAAAGCACTTCAGGTTCTCCAAAACTTGAGGGTTTTTTGTTTGGGTGTTTTTGATCAGTTTATAGTGTCTTTTTTTTTTTTTTTTTAAGATTTTATTTATTTATTTGAGACAGAGAGAATGAGAGAGAGCGAGCACATGAGAGGGGGGAGGGTCGGAGGGAGGAGCAGGCTCTCTGCCGAGCAGGGAGCCCGATGCGGGACTCGATCCCGGGACTCCAGGATCATGACCTGAGCCGAAGGCAGTCGCTTAACCAACTGAGCGACCCAGGCGCCCCCAGTTTATAGTGTCTTAAAAAGAAAACTTGTATTGTTAGCTGTAGAGTTGAAACAACTACCCAACCTGTGAGCCTCATCTTCCTCAGCTTTGGGGTTATTTTGAAGATTAGAAAAGAACATCAAGGCCCATGTTCAGTGCCTAGAAAATAATGGCTTATGTAGTTATTATTATTTTTTCTGCATTTATTTTTTTCTATTTTTTTAATTAACATATAATGTAATATTTGTTTCAGGGGTACAGGTCTGTGATTCATCAGTCTTACACAATACACAGTGCTTACCATAGCACATACCCTCCCCAATGCCCATCACCCAGCCACCCCATCCCTCCCACCACCCTCCACTCCAGCAACCCTCAGTTTGTTTCCTGAGATTAAGAGTGTCTTATGGTTTGTCTCCCTCTCTGGTTTCATCTTGTTTCTTTTTTCCCTCCCTTCCCCTATGATCCTCTGTCTTGTTTCTCAAATTCCTCATATCAGTGAGATCATGTGATACTTGTCTTTCTCTGATTGACTTATTTCACTTAGCATAATATCCCCTAGTTCCATCCATGTTATTTTGATCTATGTTGGCCTTTCAGAAAGTACAGAAACTCTAGGGTTTCAGTTTAGATTCTCTTAATTCCTACATGATGAATGTAGTGTATAAATGTTATGTTCATAGCTCCATTTATGCAACAGGTAGTGTAATGAATTCTTTGTAGTTTTTTTTTTTTTTTTTTTTATTACCTTCTGCCACTTGGGTCCTTTATGGTCAGTCAGTTAAAAAGGTTTATTAGATTAAGCATAGAACCTCATATGGAAAATAATTTTGTTTAGAATTTCGCAAATGGACTGAAGAAACATTGTCATGTTAAGGAGTACAGATCTGACTATAGAGACTAACTGCTGTTGAAGGAGGGCAGGAGAGGTTCTAGCGTAGTTTGACTAGATCCCCAAAAGTTGTTCCTCACCCTGTCTGTATTTACTTTTACCTCCATAAAACCTATTCTAATACTTCTAGCCCTCAGTGAATCATGGTGTTTAGAATTTTGTAGCATTTAATTCTAGCACTTGATTGATGTCACACAGTCTACTTTGATCACTAAGTGCTTCAGTTTCCACCTTAACTGGATCTAACTCTGTGCTAGGTTTTATAAAAGAACAAAAGAAGTAAAAGACACGCACTCTAGAAACCTGTTAGGGGAAAGGACTATATAGTCTTTTTTCTACTTGAATTCCTTTCTTTACCCACCACTGTGACTTTAAAGTTTTTTCCCTGAAAATCCAGATGAAGTGGAATAGTGCACTCCCATAGTGTCTTATGCAGCCATTGTAGAGCCAGGACTTATGAGTTTTCCGTTTGTCAAATTTTTACTGGAGAGAGGAGTTTCTTAAGTGTTGGCCACATGGCTCTTGGTACTGTGGGATAATGGAGTGGTTAGCAAAACATATACTTTGTTTAGATATACCTTAACCAAATGGTTGCACAAGTAAGATAGTTACAAGCTTTATTTTCAGGCTTATGTGAGGAAAGTATAGGATACTAGTAAGGATATAAAGAGGCCTAATTTTAATTCGGATTGGGGAGGTCTTTTTCAAGAAATGTGACACTGAAGCTAAAACCTAAAGGATAAGTTAATGATAGGACAGAACAACATTCCAGGCCAAAGAAACAGTGTGTGTAAATACAGTGAGAGGAGAGAGTGGTATGTCCAAAGAACTGTAAGAACTATAGGAGGCCAGGAGAAGATATTATTATAAATGTAGTGGCAAGTTATTGAAGGATTTTTCATGAGGTAGCAACGTGATCTGTTTTGTTATATCATCTCTGGCTGCTGGATAAAGAATGGATTGGCAGGAGCAACAATGGAAGCAGGGAGACCCAGGCTATTACTGAGTTACAGATAATAA